GGGGGTGGGGGTGGCGGTGGTTGTAATAGTGGGGTGGGTATGGGGGTAGTGCCAAAGGTGGGGGTGAGAGTGGGGGCGAGGGTTGTGGCAAGTGCGTATGCAGGTGCAGAGGTGGGGTCAAGGTTGTGGCGGGGGGGGCTGAGCGGTTGTGGGAGTGGTGGTCGAGGTAAGGGTGAGGGTGGGTGTGGTAGCAGGGGTGGGAGTGAGTGCCAATATCGGGGTGGCCTCTTACATTCTTCTTCATTAGATAGTGTTGTAGTCCTCGCCCCATTGTGTCGAGAGGGAGACTGTCATTGCATCATGTCGACATCTACAACAAGGAGAATAAATTTTATTAATTACTGCACATAACACGAACTGTTTAACAAAATAAAAACAGAACAGTACGTAATAAACATAAAACACATAAGTATGCAGTAAATAGGAAGACGAAATTGTAAAGTGCAAGGTAAAACTTCTAAAACTGAAAACACAAACTACGTAATAAACTTGGATTTGCTCAAAATCGACTTGAAAAAAATTTGATCCAAAGATTTGGCTAGAAGGTCGGCTCATTTATTTCAATATGATATTGATCCAACCTAAATTCAAATAAATTTTTTTTCAGCGATTAATGATCATCGAGTTAAATTTGTAGTCATATATTGTTAACGATTCAATTTTGAGCCAAGCTAGGGCTCATAAAAATTTGATCAAAAAGTTTAGCTCGCAGCTCGGCTTATTTATTTTAACCCGATCTCAATTCGAGCCAAAATTCGAATAAATCTGTGAGTGATTAATGATGTTTGAGCTAAACTCATAACCCTGTATGTAATCAAACTGAAAAGCAAACATAGAAAGTTTGAAGGTGGAAGAATTACCATTAGATGAGATCCAAAGAGTCTCATATTATAATTTATATGAAGGGATAACTAATAAAAAAATTCCATGCATATCCTTTAAATATTTATCAACATTTGGTAGCATTTTTTTATCTAAAAAAACAAAATTTTAATAAATAGTATGTTGCTATATTTATAATTAGCAATTTTCAATAACATATGGATGTAAAAAAGCAGTTTAAATGAACCCCCAAGATAAATAAAATTAAATAGAAAGAGGAGTTTCATAATAAAACCAAATAAAAAAAAATCAACTTTAATAAAAACTCAATATATATATTCAAACAATACATTTATTTCAAGTGCATATATTTAATAAAAAAATAAAAAATCATCTCAAATATTTTTCTTCCCAGCCAAAATAAATATTAAAAAATAATTATTAAAAAAAAATTATATTTTCAATTAACCAAATTTCTCTTTTAAATAGAACTGCAAGAAACAAATTAAGCCATTAAAACCTCCTCCCATCCTGTATGTAATCAAACTAAAAAAGAAAAGTATTTGGCAAACCTCCTAGTTGCTAAACCCTTACCCAAATGCATTCTTCAAAGCAAAATGATAATAAAAGCGAAAATGAAAAAAACAAGCTACCTTCTTGGGTCATTTCGGGTAGCAGAGGAGTGGAAAGTAGAGAAAAATGGGAGTTTTCGATCACTGTAAGTCATGATCCCGCCACTGCATTCCCAACTAGCTCATTATCCAACTGTATTGCGAGGGATTCAGGGAAGGAGGCGATGGTTTTCAGAAAAAATAGAGATTCTGGAATCGGGTGGAGAAGACCAGGGTTTCAGGTAGAGGGTTTTTGGGTGAGGTGAGGGTTTCAGGCAGAAAGACGAGGGTCAGGAGAGAGATTAGGGCAAGATCAGGAGGGAGGTGATTTTAGGCGGGATAAATTTTTAGTTTTGCTGGTCTATCAATAGCTTTAATTGCGTCGGTTATTAAAACTATTACTTGTAGTCGCTCTCAATGCTTAATGATAAAATGCATTGGTTAAAACCCTGCCAGATGACAGGTTCGAAGGTAACCAACGAACTATAGCCTTCAGTTTTTATTTGTTTATAACCAACGGATTATTCTATCGGTGATAATTAAAAACAGTCGAAAAATAAAATATTGTTGATAAGCGACAGTTTATATTATAGTTATGTCGTTGTAAATAACTAAGATAAAAAACCGTCGGTAATTAGAATAATTTTTCCAATATGTAAAAAAATCGTTATTTTTTCTTCGATTTTAGGGCATTTTCCTGTAGTATATATTGTCATTTGAGATCACCTTTTCTTACAAAAAGTGTACATAAACCTCTCTTTTCTCATAAGTATATAAATAATTGGCTTTAGGAATGTCAGTGAGCTATGCTATCGTTGATATCTTGAGTTATTCATCTTAAGGTGTAATTATAATAAGCAAACATGTGATCTAAGACGATATTAACTTGTTATATGACATAAACCTAACATCACATAAGCCCTATCATATTTCATGGCTTTGATACAAATGTTCGATATTTGCAATGAAAATGACCCCATGCTATGGCATTTGATAAATGACTAAAGAAACTTGACGTTTCTATTTTCTCATGATGACATCTCATATGTCCATTAAAGCACATAAGTGTATAAATTTCTTAAACATGTGATAAGTGATAAGAAAAAATAATCTATTAAAAAAACTTCATTTGTCTGGATTGTCTTCATATATAATTTCTTATGAAGATGCTTCATTATATTTACATTCATTTTTTGTCGTGTAATCCTTTTAATTTCATAGGCATTCATTGATACAAAAAAATTATCACCAATGCATTCATGTCTCATTTAAATACCAATATTTTGGTTAACTAAAAATCATTCTATATATTATTATCCCAAGCCTAAGTCGATATTTACACTTCATTTTAAATTTGTTAAAGACCCACCTAGTTAATAACAAATGCTTATGCGACATGGTATTTTTTTTCTTAGGTGAGGTAAAATTTTCTCAATTGTCTGCAAGGAAGTAGAGATGTTAACAATCAGATTTAGAGCTAAGCTGCTCTTAGCCCGACTCGTTTATTTCGATAGGATATCAATCCAAGCTAAAAATCAAATCAAATTTCCAGTGATTAATGCTCTTTGAGCTAAGTTTACTAAGGGTCTGTTTGGGCAAGTGCAACTTATTGAATAATTTGCTGATAAGTTGATTAAAAGTAATATGCTGATAAGCTAGGTGCGGTGACTATTATAAATTTTTATTTTTTTTCGAAAAGTCAGACCGCTGCTAGAAAGCTGTCACCACACCTCAATAGGTGCGGTGTGACAGCATTTTGAAAATGCATAAGCTGCCAAAATGTAGTTTACTCAAAAAAATTAGGTGCATTTTTAAAATGCCACCGCACCAAATAAACTGCCCAAAACGGAGACTAAATTCACTTCCCTAAGGCCATTAGGGCTGTTTTTTCTTCTATAGTTGAGGCGGAAGAGCTGTTTTTGTAATTTGACCAAGCCAAGCGGCCACATAGCAACTATCAGCTGTTTTGTTTGTAACAGCAAACACAGATTTGCCAAGGACAAGTCAACGGTCAGCATGCCAGAGAAACCCCACCACGCATAAAGCCCACCTACGGAAATTCCATGTAGGTTCTTGTTGTAATATTTGGTTATTTTCACAAAATCCATTCACAACGGACAAGTTTTTTTAAATTTTTTATTTTAAAAATAACGCAATTTCCAATTTTTTAACATATGGAGCATTTTTTTAGTTTTAGCACAGTTTCAGCTTGATCAAACTTCATCGATGTTGGCGACGTAAAGTCAATTTTTTTATTAGAGAAAATGTAGGTCGTATAAATTTATTCGTTAATTTGACAAATATTAATCATGAAAACTAATAAAAAAATTTAGAGGCTATTTATAAAAATTTATTTTTTTTTGAAAAATAGAAAGTTTGAAGGTGGAAGAATTACTATTAGATGAGATCCAAAGAGTCTCATATTATAATTTATATGAAGGGATAACTAATAAAAAAAAATTCCATGCATATCCTTTAAATATTTATCAATATTTGGTAGCTTTTTTTACCTAAAAAAACAAAATTTTAATAAATAGTATGGTGCTATATTTATAATTATCAATTTTCAATAACATATGCATAACATATGGATGTAAAAAAGCAGTTTAAATGAACCCCCAAGATAAATAAAATTAAATAGAAAGAGGAGTTTCATAATAAAACCAAATAAAAAAAAATCAACTTTAATAAAAACTCAATATATATATTCAAACAATACATTTATTTCAAGTGCATATATTTAATAAAAAAATAAAAAATCATCTCAAATATTTTTCTTCCCAGCCAAAATAAATATTAAAAAATAATTATTAAAAAAAAATTATATTTTCAATTAACCAAATTTCTCTTTTAAATAGAACTGCAAGAAACAAATTAAGCCATTAAAACCTCCTCCCATCCTCTTCCCTCTGCCTCGAACCCTAACCTCTTCTTCCATGGACCTCTTCGAACAGCCAAGAGGAAGACCCTCTCCAAAGCGAGGAATCCAACTCCAGGGCCCTCGCCCCACTCCCCTCAAGGTTAACAAAGACTCCCACAAGCTCAAAAAACCTTCTTTTCCTCCTCCTCCTCCCACCCATCTTCCCGCCGCCCAACGCCGCCCTCCGGTCATCATCTACACCGTCTCCCCAAAGATAATCCACACGAAGCCGAGCGAGTTCATGTCCCTCGTTCAACGCCTCACAGGCTGCTCTGCTTCCGAAGCAGCCGCCGCCGCCGCCGCCACCGACCCTTCCGAAGGCAACTTATCCGCCGATAAACAGAGCTCGCCCGCTCAAAACAGGGCTTCAAAGGAACAGGACGACACGGATGAGCTCCGGCGGCTAGTAATAGGCGGCGCTTCCGCCAATGGAATTCAGCCGATATCACCGAACTTTTTCTCCCCGTCGGTGGTGGATATAAATCAGTTCAATTTTTTCCATGAGTTGAATGTGCCGGCTTTGCATGGCAACAAAGGGATGATGGATGGAGGCTTCATATCCAGTCCTGGTAATTTCTTCTTTTCGTTGTGAATGAGAGAGGAGAATAAGTTGGTGTACTGAATGGGATACTGTCATTAAATTTTATAGGTTATAGGATTTGTGTTTTGATGAACTCTGCTGTTATTTAGCGACTGTGCTGTGAATAATAAATCTGTGTTACGTGCATGGCAAGTGGTTCAGTGATTACTATTATTTTGTTGAACTAATAATGAACTATTTATTCGAACTATAAAAATATCATGTCAAGTATCTATTCGTTTTTGGTTATGTAATATAAAAGATTTTGAATTTTAGCTGTTAAGATGATTATCAAATCAAAAGCTATTATCTTCCTATCATTCAAATACTATATCACATGTTAATAGGAGAGATGCCTGACATATTAATGAACTATATCTCCTCATCAAACCAATGATTAACTCAAAATTTATAGTCTAGGCTTTGTTCTTAGTGTTGTTTTATCAAAGTTGGCAATTAAATTATAATCCTTTAGAATCAATATACCAATTATGTTGGATTACAATTTAGAAATCATTTTAGTTTATTAGATGTGATATTATGTTCTTCTGGTTGAGGATTAGCAAGCGGAAATTGAATGTTTCAGTTACATTAACTTTAATTTCTAGATCATGGTGCTGGAAATATATGTTGATATGCACTAAAGTTTACTAATATATAATTATTTTAGCAGCATTATTGTTTAACCAACAAATCTAATAAACATGGCAATTAAATCTATGGTACACAAGTTTTTCTTTCTACATTTAGAACATATTTCTGTATGTGAAAGTTATTTTTGTTCTTTTACCTTGGAAAATTAATTAATTTCATGAAAAATAAAATTATCATACGAACTATTGGAATGTATCTTACATGCAAGAATAAAGAATGTTTTATATATGACTCACCTGAGTTTATTGTTAAATAAATAAATGTATTATAATTTTAATTTTCCAAAAGAAAATTATGGGAAAAAAGAGAATGGAAGCAAAGAAGCATGAAATTACAATATATCTTATTTATTTAATTATGTTAATTTCAGGTAGATTCAGCAAGATTTCAGGTGCTTTTTTTTAATGATTTATCAACCCCAAACGCCCCACAAATTTCTGTTGTAATTAAATATTCATCTTAACCCAATTGCAATAAGGGCCGGTTAGGCGAGTCAGAAGGTATATTTGTAATATTCTGAGATAGTGGGCGAATTAAAATGGGCAATGTGCCAAGTGGAACGAGGCATTTAGATCAGACAATAACTACAAAACAAAAAAAGAATTACAAGCTCGTAAAATGTCCTTCTTAGTTATTTCATCGCGGCATGATGGCAAGATTGCCGCTTTCTTGGTTTTGCCGTCCTTAATATATATTATTATTTTCTTAAGTGAATGTATTATGTCAGGCTTTGAACTTTGATCCACCGCGTTATGGTAAGTGACATTGTTTTTATTGGAACGACATATACTTGTTAATTTGCCAAATGAACGTACAGAAGTAATGATGGTTTATTCTACAATGTCGTACGTCAATTTGAGCTTATAAGTGATCTATGGTATTTATTATATCATCACAAAACCTGATTCTAAAAAAAGTTGCCGACGTCTTAGAATGCCCTGGCGACGGACACTCTACAGGGACTAGGGACCTTCATTATAAATTTATGACGGATCCTTGAGCTCTTTATTTTTAACATCATTGATCAAATTTTAAGGCATATCATTATAATATCAATGTTGTTAATGAGTGTTAGAAGATTCACGATAGTAGAATAATAAATTATTATATTAGTATTGTATGAGAATCTAACATATACTTAGGTAATTAAAGAAAAGTAACAAGTAAGGGACATCTTAGCATTTTACTTGAAAAATTTTGGAATGGGAAAAAAATTATGGGACTTAGCCTAATTAAAATAATTCACTATAAATAATGAGTGCAATTGTTCAGTCTTTTTATGAATTAAAAAAGATAGAGTTATAAATTTAATGATGGTTTATCGATAATAGTAGTAGTCTAGTTGTAATGAATGTAGTTCTCGTTGATAGCAAGTTGTAAGTGTTGTATTCGATTACTATAGAGACAATAGTCCACCGTGAATTTTATATATGGTGGTTGTAGCTCCATATTGTTGTATATGATGTAGCTGAAAGCCATGGTATTAGTTGGTTGTGTGGGCCGCAGATGCACTATAGGAAAAAGCGCTAAAACCGACGAAAAAAATCGATAACTTATTATACGTCGGAAAAATTATTATAATTATCGATGATTTTATGAATATTTTTTATCTTGATTATTTGCGACGACATAACTATAACGTATATCGGCGTTTATCAACAACATTTTATTTTTTGATTGCTTTTAATTATTACAGACAGAATAACCCGGCGGTTATAAGCAATTATTAATTGACGGCTATATTTCGTTGGTTATTTTCGAACTCGACATCTGACGGGGATTTAACTGATGCATTTCTTATTAATTGACGTGAATGACCGTCGGTAATAGTATTAATAACCGCCATAACAAAAGTCATTGATAGACAGTGACACTAATCCTATATACTGCCGAAATCACCTCCCTCCCGGTCTTGCCCTAGTCCCTCCTCCCCAGCCTCGTCTTCTCTCTTGCCTCTCCCTGAAACTCTTGCATGTGCCTCACGCATGTCCCTCTCAGTTTCATCCAAAACCATCACCTTCGTCTGAAACCCTCACGATACAGTCACAATAGGAGATAGATGGGAATGCAACGGCGAGATCGTAGTTTACAGTGATCGAAAATCCCATTTTTATCCTTCTTCTGCTTCTATGCTACCCAAAAAGACAGAGAAAGGTAACTTGTTATCTTCATTTTCGATTTTACTTTCATTTTCTTTGAAGAATGCTTTTAGGGTTTAGGTTTTAGGGAATATGAAGTTTGCCAAATATTTTTCTATTTCAATTGGATTACATCTAGGGCTGTGAATTTAGCTCGAACATCGTTAAACGCTCGAAGATTGATTCAAATTTTAGCTCTGAGAGAGATGGGATCAAAATAAATGAGTCAACCTGCAAGCCAAAGTTCTGGATTGAATTGTTTTTAATTGATTTTCAGCCGACCCTAGCTCGGCTCAAAATCGGATCGTTAACAACATATGACTGTGAATTTAGTTCGAAGATAATTAATCATTGAAAAAATGATTCAAATTTTGGTTGGGATCGAAATCAATGAGCCAAGCTACGAGCCAAAACTTTGGATCGAATTATTTTTTAGCAGATTTTAAGCCGATCACAGCGAAGCTCAAAATCAGATCGTTAACAACCCTAATTACATCAGGGATTAGCTTTAAGCACATATATTTTTTGCTTTATTTATGGATGTTCTTACTAGACATTTACATGAGGATGCACGTTGGTGTATGCTTTTTGCGGGAAATATCCTTCTCGTGAATAAGATTAGAGAAAGAGTTTAGGAAAAACTTAAATTTTGGAGGCCGTTATTGGAGTCTAAAGTCCTTCGTTTGAGTTGATCTAGAACTTAACACTTGAAATGTAATTTTAGTAGTAGTAGCTCTGGTGGCAAAATTGTAACTACGAGTAATCAAATTATTTAAAAGTGTGAATATTCTAGATATCTCTTGTTCAAAGTGATTGTGATATAAATGGGTATGCGATTAATTAGTATATTTTAAGTTGGTTGGTTGGTATCTACATCATCTCGGCTTGAAGTCGGATTGTTTAACATCTTAATATATTAATTATGTTGAAAAAAATCAAACAATCACACATTGACTTGTAATTGATTAAGGAGTATTTCTCTAATACTGTACACCACTGTAGCTATATTTGTTTCATATTTTGTCTCCAAGTGAATAGCTATTCGTAAACCCCACACAGATCACTGGTTTTACATTTATAGATAAATTGTGAGTAAAATATACTAGTGAATTGGGCTGTAAAAAGGGTTCATTGTTCACGAACAGCTCATGTTCAGCTCGTTCGTTAAGCTTAACGAGTTGAACACGAACAAACTTTTAAGTTCAAAATATAAACGAGCCAAACACAACCAAATATTTTTTCGCTTGTGTTCGGCTCGAATTGGCTCTAAAATAAATAAATAAATAAAAATATAAGTATACTCAATATTCTACAGTGTTATTGGTGTTATTCCACGGTGTAACACCCCTTAATAACACTGATAACACCAATAACACCGCAAAATAACACTCAAGTAACACCCTCTGGGTTATCGGTGTTATTCCTCTGCTTGCGATGTTGTTGGTATGTTATTCTGCAATGTAACACTATGGAATTACACTGATAACACCAATAACACCGTGGAATAACACTCGAGTAACACCCATTGTGTCATCGATGTTATTCCTCCATCTGTGTTGTTATTGGTGTTATTCTGTTGTATAACACCGCAGAATAAAACCAATAAAACCACTAATACCGCAGAATAATACCGAGTAACACTCGTTGTGTTGTCAGTATTATTATGTCGTCAGTGGTGTTATCGTTGTTATTCTGCGGTGTTATTGGTGTTATCGATGTCATTCTACGATGTTACACCACAGAATAACACCAAAGCACCGCGGAATAACGACCTGCACTATTTGAGTGTTACTCAGGTGTTATTGCGGGTGTTATCGATGTGTTATTGGTGTTATTCCACCATCTGCAGTATTATTTGTGCGATTCAGCAACATTTTATATTTTACTGAGCCTATTTTCAGCCGAACACGAACAAGAATATATTATTCGAGCCGAACACGAACACATTGTTTATGAGTCATTTCAAACATGATCTAAATTGGAACGACCTGAACACGGGCCGAGGCTCAACTTGCTCCAGCTCGGCTTGTTTACAACCCTACTCGGGAATGAGTTTGTGTAGCTATGGTGACAAATAAGATTAGAAATAAAATATTGACAAATGTTCACCCATTATCGATCTTAAATAGCCCTAACAGCCTCAGTAGGCTGTTAATGTTCATCTTTCAAGCTTAATTGTTGTCAGCTCTAAGAAAATCCGAGTCAAAATTAAAATCAATAAATTTTCGAGCAGTAATTGTTGTTTTATATTTAGAAAAATTTATTTCGATCTTTTATTTAGACTTCATAATGTCTCTTTCTAATATTATCTTCAATTTTAGCTACTCCAATCCCACACAAGCAT